ATATTGTCAGGAGGGACCAGTCTCTGGAGAAGGATATCATGTTTGGTAAGGTGGAGGGTCAGAGAAAAAGAGGAAGACCCCCAACGGGATGGATTGGCAAAGTGGAAGCATCAGTGGGCTCAAGCATGACAACAATTGTGAGGTTGGCCCAGGGTCGGGCAGTGTTTCGTTCTGTTGTGCATAGGGTCACTATGAGTCAGTACCAACTCGATGGCACCTAACAACAACAACAACAACAAAGGCAAGCAGCGAGGAGCTCTGGTAGTGTAGTGGTTACGAGTCGGGCTGCTAACCTGAAGGTCAGCAGTTCGAAAATATCAGCCGTTCCATGGGAGAAAGATGAGGTTTTCTGCGCCCGTGAAGGTTTACAGCCTCAGAAACCCTGTCAGAGTCTCTATGAATCGGAATCGACTCCACAGCACACTACCACCACCACCAAAGGCAAGCAGCTGTTAACTGTGTTTAACTGTTTATCATTTGATACATTTCTTTCCAGTTGTTCCAGTCGAGTACCCATTCCCCAGTGTTCCTTCCATGCCTAGTTGTTGCATGATAGTGTCATATCTATATAGACTTTTTTTTCCTTTAAGAATGGATTTGAAAGCAGAAAACTTGCATTCATACTTTTTAAACTTTTTATTGTGAACTGGGTGAAGGTTTACAGAGCAGACAGTTTTCCATTCAACAATTTCTGCACATTTTGTTTTATCTCATTGACTGCAATCCCCACAATGTAAAGATCTCTACATAGACTTTTTTTTAAGCTTTTTATTGTGAATTGAGTGAAAGCCCCACAGACAAGACCATCAATTTTACATTCAACAAATCATACACCCCATTTCAACTCAAAAACTGTAATCCCCTCCATGCAACCACAGCGATCCCATCTCCTCCCCCCGTGACTCCCACTTCCATCCCACCCACCCTTCCATCCCCTCACAATGCTGTCCTTGCCATCCCAAATGACTGACCATTTATTCCATGGTGAGCACACTCCACCAATGTCATTGTCCCTGCTATATACCTATCTACTACTTAGATGAAAATTGGGCCACTCGGGCGAGCCCCCTTCCAGACTCAAAGGGTGGTTAAAGGCCACAGTCTCGGTTTGCTCCAGTCTCCCTCTGACCAGCAAGCCCTGTCTTCCATTACAATCCTGAGTTTTGTTCCACATTCTCTCCCACTCCATCCGGTGTCCTCTAGTGTGGTTCCTCTCAGAGCAGTCAGTAGCAGCAGCTGGGCACCACCCAGTTCCTCTGGTCTCAGAGACATAGAAAACAATATTTCTGTGTTGTACTAGTTCATTGGACTAACCGATTCCAAGCATCTTTACTTCTCATCACTCATCTTTTTTCTGCACATGGAGAGACCAATAGTTGTACCTTAGCTGCTCATGAGTTTTTAAGATCCCGGATATTACCTACCAAAGTAAGATGTAGAACACTGTCTTTGTGGACAATGTTATGTCAACTGACCACGATGTCTCCTGAGCCCCAGGTCCAGCAACTCATCAACCCAAGATGTTTGATACCATCCAAGAAGTTTCTACCACCCAGCCCACTGTATGCTCTACCACATTCATAGTTGTATTTTTACCAAAGGTACAAATATCCTCTTTCAAACCCATATAGATTTGTGGGTATATTCCTACTCTTCTTCCCATATCCATTCAGCCTGTGTATCTGTCCATATATCTACCCATAGAACACCATTGTTCCAAGGTTGTGTATATAATATTATTTACTTCTATCCCCTTTAGCACTTGTATATCTCCCTGTCTTCATCATTCTTCTGCCAACCTCCCTCTTCTTGTATATTGCCCTCCCAGCCACCCAAGTTAACATGTGTCCACCCTCTAGCCAGTGAATTACTCTCCCTTCTTACCTATCCCTGGTACCCATCAAAGAATGTTTCTTTTAGCTTGAAACCCTTTTCTTGAGTTTTTATAATAGTGGTCTTATACAATATGTGTCCTTTGTGACTGACTAATTTCACTCAGCATAATGTCCTCCAGGTTTACCATGTTATGAAGTGTTTTGCAAATTCATTATTATTCTTCAGCATTGCATAGTATTCCATTATGTATGTACCAAAGTTTGTTTATCCATTCTTCCATTGATGGGCATTTATGCTGTCTCCATCTTTTTGCTATGGTGAATACTGCTTCTATGAACATTGGTGTGCATATCTATTCATGTCCTGGCTCTTATTTCTTGTGGATATATATTAAGTAGAGAATTGCTGGGTCATACAGTATTTCTTACTTCCAAATTCCTGAGGAAGCACCATACCGTTTTCCACAGTGATTGAACCATCACACAGTTCTTCCAGCAATGTAGGACGTTCCCGGTCTCTCTACACCCTCACCAGCATTTGTTTTCTTTTCTTTTTTTAAAACTTTGCTATTAATGGTGAGGTGAGATGATATCTCATTGTTGTTTTGATTTGCATCTCTCTAATGGAGTCCTGGTGTGACACTGTGGGTTAATGCGTCAGTCTGCCAAGTTGTTTGAACTGCAAGGTCAGTGGTTCAAGCTCACCAGCTTCTCATTGGAAACCCTATTATAGGGTCACTATGGGTCAGGCTCTGGTAGCGTAGTGGTTACGAATCGGGCTGCGAACCTTAAGGTCAGTGGTTCGAAACTACCAGCCGCTCCACGGGAGAAAGATGAGGCTT